ATCCTGCTGCCGCTGATCACCAGCGTCGAGGAGCTGCGCGCCACCCGCGCGATCCTGGAAAAGGTCTGGCGCCGCCTGAAACGCCGCAAGGTCGCCATGGCCAGGTCGCTGCCGCCGCTGGGCGTGATGATCGAGGTGCCGGGCGCCGCGCTGTCGGCCGATGCCCTGGCGCGCGAGGCGGATTTCTTCGCCATCGGCACCAACGACCTGATCATGTACACCCTGGCGATCGACCGCGGCGAGGAGCGGGTCGCCCACCTCTACAACCCCTTGCATCCGGCGGTCTTCCGCCTGATCCACTTCGCCGTCGACGCCGGCCTGCGCGCCGGCAAGAGTGTCTCGGTCTGCGGCGAGATGGCCGGCGACCCGCGCTACACCCCGCTGTTCGTCGGGCTGGGCGTGCGTGAGCTCTCCATGGGCCCCAAGGGCCTGGCGCGGGTGAAGGACCGGGTGCGCCGCCTGGACTCGGCGGCGGCGGCGCGATTGGCCAGTGAAATCTCCATGCTGAGCGACGCCGGCGAGATCGCCCGCCTGCTCGACCTCTTCAACGAGCGGCTCTGACCCCGTGTAGGAAGCGGGCCTCCCCCTGCGCGCGCAGGTGGACGCCGGAAGGTCGCGCACCGGTCCCGGCGGCCGGTGACGGCTTGGCCGCATCGCCCCCCCGGGCGCGCCCCGTTGCGCGGCCGCGCCACAGAGATCCGCATGCTTTCGCCTTCTTGTTGATTACTTAACTTATATTTCGTTGGATGACCTCTGCTAGCGCGGTGCTTCGGGTTTTCAGGATCTGCCGCGGCCCCGTATAAGTAGAGCTGCCGAGATCAAGCTCGGCCGAGGAGCGCTTTCGATGCTGGAATGGCTATTTGAAAGCAACGAATTCTCGCCACACGGGTTTTGTCTTTTCTGGGACCCGCCGGTTCTTTGGCTTCACGTGGCCTCCGACGCCCTGATCGCCCTGGCCTATCTGACCATCCCGGCCGTCCTGTTGACGGTGGCGATCAAGCGGCCCGACCTGAACCCCTTCAAGGTCCTGTTCTGGTTCGCGGGCTTCATCATCACCTGCGCGCTGACGCATCTGCTCGCGATCGTCACCCTGTGGGAACCGCTCTACGCGCTCGCGGGCGTCGCCAAGGCCAGCACGGCCCTGGTCTCGGTCTCCACGGCGGCGCTGGTCTGGGTCCTGCTGCCGCGGATCCTGACCATACCGAGCCATAGCGCCCTGGCCGCCGCCAACGCCGAGCTCACCGCCCTGCGGGACTCCCTCGAGACCAAGGTGGCGCAGCGCACCCAGGACCTACAGGAGACCAACACGCGACTGCAGGCCGCCCAGCAGCAGGCCGAACGCGAGGTGGCGGCGCGGACCCGCCTCATGCGCACCATCAGCCACGAGCTGCGCACGCCGCTNNCTGAATGCCGTGATCGGTTTTTCCGAGCTGCTCTCCAACGAAAGCCGCGAGCGCCTCTCGGACACCGACAAGAGCTACCTCGAACAGATTCAGGATGCCGGCCAACTCCTGCTCAGCCTGGTGAACGAAGTGCTGGAGTATCAGCGCAGTCAGGCCGACCCGGAGGTCTTCAGCAAGGAGCCGGTCGATTCCCTGAGCGTGGTCGACGACGCCGCGTCGCTGGTCGCGCCGCTGCTGCGCGCCAAGGACCTGACCCTGGAGATCGAGGTGCCCGAAGGCCTGGAGGCCGCCACCGATCGCCGCGCCGCCCTGCAGATCGTGAGCAACCTGCTGTCCAATGCCGCCAAGTACACGCCCGAGGGCGGTCGCATCGGCGTCAGCGGCGAAGAGTGCCCGGCGGGCCCGCGCTTGACGATCTGGGACACCGGCGTCGGCATCTCGAAAGAGGACCAGCAGCGCATGTTCCACCCCTTCTTCCGGGCCCGCGCGACCGAATCCATGGCGCAGGGCACGGGCCTCGGCCTGGCCACGGTGCGGCGTCTCGCCGAACGCCTGGGCTGGCATCTGGAGGTGGAAAGCGCGCTGGGAAGCGGCACCGCGATCCACCTCCAGCTCCCCTGCGCGGACCGCGAGGCCGCCGCCGCCGCGGCCCTCGCGGAGTGACGCGCCCTCGCCCCGCGGGGCTCCGCACCCCTGTAGCGCCCAACGAGGCAACACATTGATTTTCCTAGGACCAGCCCCACTCACCCGAGCCCAACTTGCTGTTGGGGGGCGATCCTGGTATCTCCGGGGCGACCCGGACAGAGATCTCCCTGGGAACCTCCGTACAACCTCCCGAGACGACGCGATCGGGACAACCGAGCGAGGACCGCTTTCTCATGGCCGACTTCACCGACTACAAGGTCAAGGACATCTCGCAGGCCGACTACGGCCGCAAGGAAATCGAGATCGCCGAGACCGAGATGCCCGGCCTGATGGCGCTGCGCGAGGAATACGGCCCCTCGAAGCCGCTCAAGGGCGCGCGTATCGCCGGCTGCCTGCACATGACGATCCAGACCGC